TCAAAGTTGTAAACCTCAAAAGGTGGTCCTCTTTGACCGGTCGGTCCGGTCCGACCGAAAATTGCCCTTCTATTTTCAGAAATTTTCGTTTCCAGTCCCGCCCCATAGCTAACCAGCTCGTTACTACACACAGTAGTCAAAGTGGCGGTCCTTTCGCAATTTGTAATAATCGTCGCAGTTTGTAATACCTTTCGCACCTTGTGATAAAATTGTCGCACTTTGCAATAAAAAGAGGATCGCAATTTGTACTAAAATAAGCTGTCGCACTTTGGCTTGTCGCACTTTGTAATAAGCTTGAAATCAAGGTGGCCAGAGGTGTTTTGTGATCAAAAAGAATAGTTTCAATGAAGAGGCTGTTAAAATTCATTTAACTTACGTGTCAGGCGTTCGAAAGCGAAGGGGGTTGGGGGGTGAATTTTGGCTATAGACTGCGCGCAAGGGGGAAGGGAGGAGGGGAACGCCCACAAGGAAGCCATTGTTTTCGCTATCCAGCCTTCGCAAAAATAACGCAACTGTGAATATCTAGCTGTCAGTTAAGTCTGGCCTCGATGCACGTATTCTATAGGCGTATTTCTTGCACAGTTTTTCTTTTCTTTCCTTACTGCGCTTTTCAGGAACATGCGACTCTGAAGTTCAAAAGCCAACTGACGATTGCGTTTTTCGCTGCTGTCAATCATCTTAACGCACCTCTTAGGAAACAAAACTTTACTTTAAAGGTCATGGATTGTGATTTCTGGATCTCGATCCGTCTTGCGAGTTTCTGTGTTTGAAGGTTCGTTGCTTGTGATCGTAATTATGATTGACGGCAGCGAAAAACGCAATTGTGAAGGCATCTTTTGAACTTTAGAGTTCGCATGTTTGTGAAAAGCGCAGTAATCAAGACAGCTAAAGTGAAGATACTATAAAAAACCCCTTCAAATTCGCGCGGTCGTCCATTGAAGGAAGAAAGTTGCAACCACTGACGCCTGCCGAGTTATATAATATTCAGCATAGATCTATTCAAGCCGTTGCTGAAGGAAGCCGTTGCTGAAGGAATCGGGCTGAACAACTATTAAGAAATGTAGCGGCTCCTCGCAACTTGCGAGGATGTTTGTCTGATAAAAATCTTATTTGACTCTTTGAATTTCTATCGGGACGAATAGGATGCAGCGGAGCAGATAAAAGAACGCTGTAGTGGGGAAAGGAGAGCTGAACCATGCGCGTGGTCCGATCCCGCGTCGAAATTCCCTTTCCCACATCACAGATGGCCCAAATTCACGTAGCTTGCGAATACAGCCATTTCTCCTTGCTCCTCGCCGCAATGGACGTTTCGCCACGAGGAACGTCTGCGCCTGATCAGCGACAGAAATTCCATACTGATGACGTAAATCAATGTCTACGTAATAAATCCGAGAGTCATGGCCCCCAAATGTAAATTTGTTTGATTTCACGTTTTTCTTGGTCGATTTTGATAAAGTTTTCTGTTTCTACTGCGAACAAGCTCCAAATAAACTCAGATGCTTTTTCTAAAGAAGAATAAAATTATTCCAGGAATATTGACTGTTTTTAGTAGTTTTAACACGTTTCCGACCCCGTTTACATTTTTTCGTTCAAGCTTAAAAGTACAATATAATATACCAAACTAAAAGGTACGAGAAAAGATACAATTTTTGCACAGGATGTTACAATACTAATCTAAATTAAAAAAAAAAAAAGAGAGAGAGAACAAAAAACCAAAAAAAAAAAAAACTGTGTGACCTTTTGTCTTTTGCCTGTCATTCGTAAACAATAGGTAAAACAATATAACTAATATGTCGACCAATCATAGCTCCTGACCAGATTCTTGACAGATTTAATGTCATAAGTATGGAATTTCTGTCGCTAAGGCGCAGACGATATTCCTGGCGAAACGTCCCTTGCGGCGAGGAGCAAGGAGAAACGGCTGTATTTGCAGGCTAAAACAATGTCACGTTTCGAGGAAATTACATGCGAAAGGTGATACGTGACCTTTGTGCTGGACGTGCCGGTGTCGCGTTCGTTACAGGCGACCGTTACAAATAAGAGACTTTTTTAGTAGAAAAATACAACATGGAGATGTGCGAAGGCTAAATAACGTCAAATCTAAACATTCCTTCAATTAAATGACTAAAAAAAGACTTGCCTGGAAAGTAGTCTCCTTACTTTGAAAGTATCTGTCGTTTTACTAGATTTTTTTTTTGCTCTATTGCGTATATATCCACTGTAGCTCCCTTCAAAAGGCGAATTCAAGGCCGGTCATTGCCACCTGGTGGGGTCCTGGACCAGTCGTAATAAAAATACCGTTTTTGGTCCAGGAACCTTCTAGTAAAACGGCAGACACCGTCAAGGTAAAGCGAATGCTTCCCAGACAAGTCTTTTTTATACATTTCATTGAAGGAAAAGTTTAGATTTAGCAGTTATTGAATGAGGCTGAGTTGGATATGAAGAACTTGAGTTCTGCAGGTCGCGGACGACGGTATCATCCTCAAGGGGCCTTCGGCCTCGGTGGATAACACCCTCCGAGATCTGCAGAATTCTTCATTTGCTACGAAAGCCAAATTAAATAATCGCTTTATTATTCATTCAAAATAACTCCAAGTTTAAATACAAGCTAGAACATGCTTACCTCGGTCGATGTTAAGTTCATATCGATAGCGCATCTTAAATGTCTTTTCCTGTCTGCAAATATACTCCAAATAGCATATGTCCTCCGTCGATTTGTCTTCTTGCTGTTATTACCATATTTTCAGAAAATATATCGCCGTGAAACGAGTAAAATGTTCCGCCATTTTGTTCTCACTACCAAAGCAACTCAACTTCGTCCCCAGGTTTTCTCGGTTAACGGTTCAATAATCTGCAACTTTGGCTGCACTTTTGACGTCATCCGTCCAATATGGCACAATTCTTCCAAATTTGGTGAGCAGCAGCTGGTTATGATGAATTATGCGTGTGATTTAACCAATCAGAAACGGAGAAATATTATGAATGAATAATAATTAACAATTATTGGACGCATGAGCAGACTATTATTTGTAGGCAGTTATATTATTTGCAGGTCACGTGGTGGGCTCTCGGCCGATGAAAAGAAAATATATTTTGTAACGTTTTGTTAGTTTCACAAGAGTATGTATATTAGGTTGCGTAATACTGCTGAAGTATTTAAGGCGTGCTTGTAAGGTGTCTCAAGGGGCTAGTACACTATTTAAGGTTTGTTAAGTTATGCAAGAGCCATTCGAGGCATCTCTTTCAACCCTAGTTTTTTATGCCATGTCGGGTTCTGAAACAGCTAGCGTCCCTCACGCGTCTTTGGAAACTAACAACGCCGGAGACTCTGCTCAACCGAGTGCTCTTTCCTCGGATACGTCCTTATCAAACGCTGAAACTTTGCAGTTATTTTCCCACCTTTTGGACGTCAAATAATGTGGGTGTGCCCCCAGTGCGGTTAACCCCCTATCCGTTTCCATTCAGGCTAATGGTAAGAAAAGGCTCATATTAGACTTACGATATCCGAATCAGTTTGTTAAGAAATCCAAGATTAAATTCGAGGACGCGAAAACCATACTTTATTCCCTTATCGATTGTTCTCAGAATTGGCTATTTTCCTTTAATATCAAATCTGGTTATCATCATATTGACATTTTTCTGCCAGACCAAGAGTTTTTAGGCTTTTCCTGGTCTAAGGATGGGGTTATTCGATTTTATAAATTTACTCTTTTGCCATTCGGCATCTCCACCGGGCCTTATATTTTTACAAAAGTTCTGAGGCCCTTAATACGTTATTGGCGTCTCCAGGCTATTAGAATTGTTGTATATTTGGATGATGGCCTAGGCGTATGCCTTTATTGCATTCCTGACTGTTATTCCCAGTCTATGGCTGTGAAATCAGATTTGTCCCAAGCGGGCTTTGTAGCTAATAGTGTTAAAAGCATATGGGTCCTAGTTCAGTCTCTCAGATGGCTGGGCTATCAATGGGATTTAAAGCATAATTTTTTATCTATTCCCGTGGAAAAAATCGACAGGCTACTAGCGATCGAGTATTGACATCGTGCTCCTTCAAAGTAGATTATCAGCCCGGCAACTAGCCTCTGTCACCGGAAGTATTATTTCTAATATGTGTGTAAGCTGATGACCAAAAGCCTACACAGGGCTCTCGATCGCAGGCAAGGGTGGGATTCCTGTGTTGAATTAGACCCATGCACTCGCAAAGAGTTAGAGTTTTGGAAGAATAACGTTTCTAACCTGAATTCTAGGTCGTTTCTCAATACTGTTGGTAAGCCATCTCGTATTGCCTATTCAGATGCTAGTGCTACTGGCTGTGCTGCCTTTATTGCAATTGATGATACGCCTGTCTCGCATATTAAATGAGATTCATTACAGATGAACCAGAGCTCTACCTGGAGAGAACTTCAGTGCGTCAGTTTTGCTCTGAAAAGTTTTGCACACCTCTCAGGCTGCGATGTTAAGTGGTTTGCTTACAACCAAGCAGTTCCTTCGATTGTTCATTCTGGTAGTATTAACGAGCATTTGCATATCTTGGCGCTCGACATATTTCAGACCGCCAAAGATAATAAGATTGACATTGAGGTTGAGTGTATACCTCGTACTCAGAATGAGAGAGCAGATTATTTGAGTAAGATTGTTGATTATGATGACTGGACAGTCAAAGATTGCTATTTTTATGCTGTTATCTCTGTTTGGGGCCCCTGCTCAGTAGACCGTTTTGCCAGCTACAAAAATCGCAAGGTTCCCAGGTTCTCTTCCAAGTACTTTACTCTAGACTCCTTGGGTGTCGATTCACTCGCCTTTAGTGGGGTCGGCGAAACATGTTCGCTTAATTTCTGCCACCTGTTTCGCTAGTTAAGAAGGCCATCCTTCATGTCTGTTTGTGTCGTTGTCGGGGAATTTGGTAGTTTCTTATCGGCCGTCAGCCCATTACCGGCCCCTTTTGGTGGAACGCGGGGGTGGTTTCAAGCCATTTGTTGCAGATTGTCTCTACGTTGAGAATGCTAAGGATGTTTTTCTCCATGGAGGCAACTAGATTTCCCTTTTTGGATCAGAGAATTTTAGTACCCCAGTGCTTTTTCTGTTTCTCGACGGGGATGTACGGGAATCTGCATAGGTTTCTGTGGAGTTGTACGCGGCTTCGCCGCTAGGCCGCTGGGCCGCTGGACCACTGGGCCAGTTTACGACGAACGAAGTAGTTTTTGCCTGGCTGTCTGTATGTAAGCCGTTTTAGCTGGTTGACTTTTTTTCATTATTGGGGCTTCTTATTTTCACTTAACTTGCTCAGTCGTTTGCTCATAATTATTTTTCTGTTCTTATTATGTTTATGTTTCTACAAGGCGGACGTGCGTTTGCTTTGAAGATTGCTCACCTAAAGGATCCAGAGCTTCGTAAGTTAGCAATCGATCTTCCCTTGCGTACCATTGAAGCGAAGGCTCCTTCGACGACGGACCGTTACTTAAGAGCTTTTCAGAAATTCAGGGAATGGTCTTCACCTTATAACGAGGTCGTTTGCCTGCCATTGGACGAGATATCAGTTGCTCTTTATTTAGAGTCCTTGATTCAGGGCCTTTCCCCTTATCCTTCCCTTGAGTCTGCTTGCTATAGTATTAATTGGGCGCATAATTTGTATGGTTTTCAAAGTCCCTGCGGTTCCAAATTGGTTAACAACGTGCTCGAGGCAGCTAAAAGAAGGCTTGCGAAATCTGTTTTTAAAAAAGAACCCGTTACCCCCGCTATGATTTTAGATATTTGTAATAGGTTTGCCGGTCCTAATGCTAATCTTTCTGATCTTCGTTTAGCAACCATTTGCGTAACCGCGTATACCGCTTTTCTCCGCTATAATGAGTTAGCTAGCCTACGCTGTTCCGATGTTAGTTTTTGCGATTCTTTTGTCAAGATTTATGTTTACAAAAGTAAAAGGGATGTTTATAGGGATGGTGCCTACGTCTTGTTGGCAAAAACAGGGTACGTTTCTTGCCCCTTTAATCTGCTTCGCAGATACGTTTCTGCTGCTAATTTAGATTTGTCGTCTTCGTTACCCTTTTTTTGCTCTTTTTATTTTCAGAAGGCTACCTCTACTTAGAGTTTGCGTAGTACGGGTATGAGTTACTCTAGAACGAGAGAAATAGTTTTACAAGCGTTTGTTGAATTAGATTATCCGAAGAATTTATTTGGTTTACATAGTTTAAAGGCGGGAGGTGCTTCCGCGGCCGCTAACGCAGGCGTTAGCGATCGGCTTTTTCAGCGTCATGGAAGGTGGAAAACGGATCAACCTAAAGACGGTTATATTAAGGACAAACTAGATTCTCTTCTCTCAGTGTCTAAAAGTTTACATATTTCGTTTGCCATTTCTCTTTCTTTATTTTCGAAAGCGGGCATCAATAAACGACATGCCCGCTCCTGTTCTGTGTTTTGTGATTATTTAGATTAGTTACAAAATATTTTGTAATCGTTTCAGTGTGATTAGAATATAAATATATTTTGTAACGTTTTGTTATTTTCACAAGAGTATATATATTAGGTTGGACAATACTGCTGAAGTATTTAAGGCGTGCTTGTAAGGTGTCTTTGACGCGAAGTCAAACATGAAATAAGGACGGCTGAGAAAATATTCATCGCGGAGCAAGTTGTAAACGACAAAAACAACTCTAATTGCCTCTGGAGAGCAATCCGCTTGTGCATACCCAAGAAGTCCGCTTCTCAAAGGAATTATTCCAAAGATGACAAAATTGTTGCTGATGAATTTAATAATTTCTTTTCCCCTGTTGGAAAGAGTACCATCAATAGAATTGCTAAGTTGGCAGAGGAATCGAATTATACTCTTAATCAATGTTCATTTATTCCGAGAATCTACCCATTGTCAGAGCAGTTCACCTTCAACGCAGTGAAGTGCGAACAGGTACAAAAAATTGTCACATCAATGGCGAGTGGTAAGGCCCCTGGGATTGATAAAATCCCAATCCATGTGATCAAAGATTGTTTGCCTGCTATCTTGCCATCGTTAACGTCTATTATTAATGCTACCTTTGAGTTTGACACCTCCCCTTTGGCCTGGAAAACAGCTGAAGTGACACCGATACTCAAGGCTGGAGACCACGATATTCCAAACAATAATAGACCGATTTCATTACTCTCTGTCCTTTCTAAAGTCTGTGAACGTGTCGCTCACAATCAACTTACGTCATATCTACTTTCGAGAGGCCGTTTATCATCCAAACAAAGCGGAAATAAACAGTGGCATTCAACGGAAACATCTGTCATTCAAACAACTGACGAAATCCTAAATGCCATTGACAAAAAGAAACTGACTGCAGTTGTCCTTCTTGATCTAAGCAAAGCTTTCGACAGTATTGACCATCAAATACTCCTTGCTAAGTTACAGGACATTGGTGCGTCCAGACCTGCGATAAAATGGCTCGGAAGCTATTTAACCTCGCGATACCAATTTGTGCGAATAAATACAACTCTGTCGGCCAAACTACCTGTTAGCTCTGGCGTTCCACAAGGGAGCATCCTTGGCCCATTACTCTTTAACATCTACGTTAATGATCTCCCTTCTGTGCCAGAAAATTGTACATCGCAGTGTTACGTCGACGATACCAAACTTCTCATGTCATTTCAACTCCGCGATCAGCACGAAACGATAGAAAAAATGAACAAGGACTTGTTAAGCATTAGGAATTGGTGCTTTGATAATCAGCTTTTACTCAACCCAGATAAAACAAAACTAGTGATATTCGGCAGCCGGCAAATGACTGCTAAGGTGAGCGACTTTAGGCTATTTCTATTGGGGAAGGAACTCGAGCCCGTTAAGGCTGCAAGAGACCTTGGTGTCACACTGGACTCTAACTTAACATATAATGAGCATATTGTTTCTACTGTATCCTCATGCATGTCACGTTTGGGCCAAATTAACCGCGTTAAGCATATTTTTAATAAACACGCGCTAATTATTATTATAAATGCCTTAGTATTTAGTAAATTATTCTATTGCTCTTCTGTTTGGAGCAATACTACTCAAACTAATCTGGACAAGCTCCAAGCAGTACAGAATTTCGCTTGTCGTATTTTGAGCGGCGCTAAAAAATTCGATCACATAACTCCTTTGCTAAAAGACTTGCGCTGGCTACCAATCAGGCAACAACTTTGTTTTCGTTTTGCTGTTCTGGTTTTTAAGTGCATGACGAGTTGTGCTCCGGAGTATTTGACATCAAAGCTCGCTGGAAGATCCGCCGTCTCGACAAGGAATACGAGAAATTCTCAACTTTTGAACATACCACTCTCCCGCACTGCCAGCGGCCAAAGGACCTTTCAATATAGAGCAACCTCTCTCTGGAATGAGTTGCAGCCTGCGCTCAAACTTAGCCCATCCGTGACGGAATTCAAGTGTTTACTCAGGCAAAAGCTTCTTAATGACTGCTTTATTTAATTAATTTAATTAATTTTATTGACCTTTGTCTTCTTTTATCATTGTTATATTCTTATTGTCATGTACTTGGTTTATAATTTTGTAATGTAAAATTGACTCTGAAAAGCCCCGTGGGGACGAGCCAATAAAGTATGTATGTATGTCTTAAGGGACTAGTACACTATTTAAGGTTTGTTAAGTTATGCAAGAGCCATTCGAGGTATCTATTTCAACCCTAGTTTTTTTATTTTATTTACTGTTGTAATTTTCTCTGAGTTTGTAAAACTGCAATGCTGTTTTTTGTAACTCTTTACGCTCGCTTCATCAATAAACGAGATGCCCTCTCCCATTCTGTGTTTTGTGATTATTTAGATTAGTTACAAAATATTTCATAATCGTTTCAGTGTGATTAGAATATAAGAAAAGTTTGCTAATTAATTAACTTTATCTAGCCTTAATAATTAACGTTATCTGGCCTTCGCAGATCTCAGTATTTCTCATACTGAAGGCCTCTTATTTTCAATGGTCACATGTAACGCGACACTGGCGCGTCCATTGTATGCAAAGGTCACGCGTCACCTATGGCATGTAAATTACTTTACACCGATGATCCTAGTAACATAAGTTAGGGCCACCCGTACGTGGATCTGCAAGAAGACTGTAATTTTAAATTATTAAATAAGCGTTGGAGGCCGGTAACGCTCGCGAAGCGAGCGAATGCGAGCGACGTATTACTAAGTAGATTGACCGACTGACCACCCAACCAATAGAAACTGGAAACGAGCTTTGAGAAGGTCTAGGGTGGTCATTGAAATATAGAAACAAGAGATTAGCTAATCCAATACGTTACCGTAAAGAAGTCCAATATTCAATGTCTTCCTTGAGGGCAGTTTTCACTTCTTCAAGGCCCTTGCGGTCGTTGATTCTCGCAAGCCTTCGATCAAGAACTTCACATTCACAAGAAGACGTTTCAAAATTATAGCAAGAATCAATGGCAAGAAATTTCGAAGAATTAAGTGTATCTAGCGCTAAGGAAAAAACAAGCAGAATCACAATCAAAATCAGTTAATAGAACTATGAATCAATCACGTAGTAAGCTTGTAAAAACTTCAGTCTAACCAAAAGGTTACCTTCCGATGGAAATTTTTAAATTATTTCACTTTGCATGCATGTCCGATAGAAAATTTCAATGAAATTTTACGTGATCTGAAAGTCGATTTTGACTGCAATAATAAAATCCGTTCCAAACAAATGTTATTCCTAAATGCTCATAAGTGAAACTCGATGATAAAACACATTTCAATTGGCGTGGCAGTTTGCTTTTATTAACTCTTTAAGGATGCCAAACTTCGAATGTTTGTCGTCGAAACATTTCACGTGCTCAAGGGCGTAGCCAGCTTTTCTACTATTTGTAAGCCTGACGTGCATTTGTGACTGACTTTCATTTCCACATATCCTGAAAATTGCACCCATGACTAGTGTGACCTCACCAACACTTTGACCTCTTAAGATTTTTAGCTCACCCCAACAACGGATGATCTATTACAAGCGGTAGAGTGATCAAACTAAAAATCTGTACCCTCGGTCCTCCAGGTCTATGGGCTGGTTACGCCCTTAGTTCTTGCGAAAGTAGAACGCTTGCTCATGAGAACAACAAACAGAATAACCTTTGCAGCTTGGGCGCGAACTGAAATACAAGGACCTTGAAATAGGGTGTGATTAACGGAGTCAGATAATGATTATTTTAATGATAATTTGTCGTCTTTAAAACGCTTTTGTTTTGCATACTCACGTCTTTCGCAGAAGTAATATTTTGTATTACGAAAACAATCGCCTCCTTTCACCAATCCAGCCCTATTAGCCCATAAACAACACCAGTCCCAGTTTGGATTGCAGATATTCCGAGCTGGCTCGGTCAAAAGGCTTGAATTCATTTGTACGAAGTCTTCTTGATAGTCCGTATAATTATACTTGCTTCCCGTTTTTTTCCTGTTGAAAAAACCAAGTAGTGAGAAATTTAGAAGCAATTTAGGTTAGGTATTTTGTTAACTAGGTTATGATTTTTAGTATAACTTTCTGAGAAAGCAGCGGAATTAAAGAATGGCGACTAAATAATGATTAAAGGTCAAATGAACCAAAATTTCGACCTTTTTTATTTTAGTTCAATTTTAGTGAAATGTGTTTAATATGAACCAAATAAACATACTATGAAGTTTCAGCTCAATTGTATCTCCGAGATATTTGCAATTAAAAATTGCTGTTTTTTGGCCCTTATCTTCGTAGAGCGGTCGGAAAAATTGTCGGAAAAAAACAGCCTTTGACGTCAATGTTGGTCAGGTGAAAAAAAGCGGGAAATTCAAACAGTTTTTCGAGTCGACTTGGCGCAGAAGTGGTTTGTGCGGCCATAAACCTGGAAAGAACAGGCAATTTGTCTTCAAAAGTTGCAAGCTGTGGTTATAACCTTATTATTTAATTTTCTCGAGGAATACATCATAGTAAAACGAACTTTAACGACCTTTACTAATTTCCTTGAGTTGTACTGGAAATGTGCGTGCATAAGTCCGATTTTTTTCAAGATGCATTCACAAAATGTGTTCATATAAGGAAGTTCCCGGATATATAAAGTCCGGAGCTCCACCTTGGACACAAAAACAATCTTTGTATATAACAGTCTGCCCAAAATGAATTCAAGTTTGCCCACAATGTGTTTGAAGTCACTGAACTTTGTCGCACTCGAGCTGATATTTGAAAACCCACGCTCGAGCGGACACTTCTAGCTTCGCAGATCACTAAAATATCAACAAAATCCTCAATGCAGAAGTTTTGGCGTTGATATGTGGGCAGAAAAAGAGTTAATCTTTCCCAAGATCGTTTCCAAAGCAACCATAGTTTTTTAAACTTCGTCGTTTCGCGCAGATTAATTTTGCTTTGTGTTGTCAAGTTGAACGTGCATAACACCTGTTAAAAACCTACGCGTAAGTAAGATTTCCTTCAAACAAAGTTAAAGTTACATTATTGCAAAACCTTCTTTCCAATTCTGTGTAATGTTTAATTGCCGTTTGAGGATTATTTAAGGACCATAGACGCCACTTTAAGCTGTCAAAGAGATGCGACAAGCAAAGAACAATTCCATCATGCATAAAATTCAGCTTAAGTGAACTAAAAAAAGCTTCAATAAGGTTGCAAAACAACAAATTTTCAACATAAGGCTTAAGGCTCTTGCTGACCAAGAAGAAGTGAATTTTCTGTACGGAAACAACCTACTTAAAGATCTTAAAAGCAAAAGATGAGTTGCAAGCTTCAACTTCGCAGCCAAGCCATGATTCGGACTACTTAGCCAGATTAGCTACTTTTTTTTAGTAATAACTGGTCCATGCGAGGGTCTTCATTTAAGCAAATTAAACTCAGCAAACTGAATCATTAGAAAATACAGAAAACTGCACAGAAGGATTTGTTTTGCTCGCTTCAGTCAAATCCAGCTCCAGCGGTTGTTTACAGGCAAAGATGTCGATTGTTTTGGAGTCACTGCCGGCAGTTGTCGTTCTCCGCTACTTCACAGCGAGTGAAAGGAAAATTTGCGTACAGAAAGATAACAAAACTATGTTATTAAAACTGAAAAAAACTAAAGGAAAAAACTCTGACTATTATTACTTGAGCAACAGAAAAATAATCGAAGCAGTCTTTTCTTCTCGAGTAAGCTTGCTGGCCTTCTAAAAGTTCCGAGGACCGAAGTTTTAAGCGCTCAAGTTTGTTCACTCGCAAGCGTTAGCATTACGGTTCTTTGACATAAGACAAGGATAAAGCTGGTTCTGCAAAGGTAAATAAATCTGGGCATGTAAAATAACTAACCGTAACTACTAATAACAGAATACAAGCGGGTTTTAATTCAGTCCGGCGAAAGAAGGCGAAGAACTAGACACAAAATCAATTCACAAATCGAATGCACAATTATCAGAAAACTACAAACCTCTTTGGAAATGTTCAAAACGTTTTATTCCTCCTCAGACTGACGGATGATCGGTTTTTACTCTAACATTGGTTGTTCTGAATCCAAAGTAATTTTCAAGTGACGAAAAAACAGCAGCAACAACAAAAACAACAAAAAAGGCCTTTACAAGGAGCACACGTTCGCACCTCGTGTATTTCATTCAGTCTCAGTCAGAACTCTTACAGAACCACAGGCGGCCCAGACGTAGTATGTGTCACTGAATGAATATATTAATATCCATGCACATGGACAAATTAATGCGATGAGTCGTCGAAACTCCCTTGGACTAAAATCGTCTAAAAGTCAAACTATAAAAAAAACAAAGCTAAGATACCTTCAACTGAACGTATCCTTGTCTTTCCTGGCCGGTTTAAGTGGCATTTTGTTGAGTTTTGAAATTGTAGGTGCTATCCACTAAAGAAGAATTAAAGGCTGGCTACAAAACAAACAGACCATCTCCACGCGCCTTCACACGAGGTGCTATAAATTCGAGAATAATCGACGAATCCGCTCCAAATAACCATCGGCTAATCTGCAGGTAACGTGTGCTCCTGCTTCTGGCTCGCTTGCTCCACAAAACCCATTGCAACTGCACAATAATTGCCCGCTCATTAAAAACCACTGTTGACCTTTACGCTTCGATATGACCGCAAACGACCAGGTTTAATACGCGACGTGAATATTCAAGCTTAGCGACCGCGTTCGCGCAACAATGCAGCACTTGCTATGGGAGGGATGGTACTATTGCTTCTAGGTCAATCGACTGACCGAAGGTTCGCTGCGTTAGTTTTGACCAGAAAACAAAAGGCGATCGTGGGACCGTCGGTAAGTTTTCAACAGGGCAGCCCTGGTTTTCAAGTTCGAATTCTTCTAGCGTTCGCTGTCTCAGCTGCTGTCAAATTGTTCGTCCAGCCGCTTGCATAGGTTCTTGACTCTACCAGACTTCTTTGCTTAGATTAACAACGTCTTACTCCATAATATGTTGTCCAAACTGGTGAAGGAGGACGACAATTTTCCGCCCAGGAAAAAGGCAAAATCTGACCCCCGCTATGCAGCTGAATAGAAGATACAGCTGAAGATATCGTAAAGTAAAATTTATGTGCGCGATGTCTTTTTCTATTATTATTATTATTATTATTATTATTATTATTATTATTATTATTATTATTATTATTATTCTAAAACTCAAGGGCACCCACCGATGATTTCCCCCTAAATGCATTGAAAACACATTTAAGGCTTTCCAGAGTACTTTTGATCGAAAAATGCATTCTAAACAGCGCTTACATAAATTTAGTCAGTTGGGCTAAAAGCGAAGCTAATGATTTATAGTTTGCTCATACTAAATATAAAATATATCGTGTAATGCTAAGCGGAGAAGGCAACGAGACAGGGCCACCCAACGACTGTTTCCTCAAATACTTTCAATTGAAAACACTTCTGTAGCTATTCATAAAGTACTTTTAGCTCTATATAAATGCATTCTAAGTGGCGCTATAAAATTTGCATCTCAGTGTTCGGCCATTCTAGAGGAACTTGAGTCTTTTCGAAATTACGAGGAATTCAGAATTATTTTCTCGAACATTTTAGATGCAATTTAACGTATTACGAAGGAGATAATTTTTCAGATACCTTCTTTCATCACATTTTTGAATCCGAAAATTTTAGGATTCCATTTTACTCTCTACGAAAAAAAGCCTAACCCGGTGAGTGAAATGTGAAAAATTAAAAGTTGGATGCCCTTGACCAGAACTGTGAAAAACAACAATAGGTCTAATTGCAGCACACTTTCTTGTACATTTCCTTGCCGTTGATTTGCATGACTGCAACGTGAAACGTCCAGAAAACTTCCTGGTTTTCACTTTTTATGGAGAAAATGTGGTACATGTTCTTGTTCACTTTTTCCACTGCCGCTCATTTTTTTTAGCTCCGCTATAAGATTCGTATCTGTTCGGTGCTCCTTGGGCAAACTGGATCTTTTTAAAAATTACAAGGGCTTCAATATTATTTTCCCGATTGATTGACCTGGAAGCAATAGTACCATCCCTCCCATAGCAAGTGCTGCATTGTTGCGCGAACGCGGTCGCTAAGCTTGAATATTCACGTCGCGTATTAAACCTGGTCGTTTGCGGTCATATCGAAGCGTAAAGGTCAACAGTGGTTGTTGATGAGCGAGCAATTATTGTGCAGTTGCGATGGGTTTTGTGGAGCAAGCGAGCCAGAAGCAGGAGCATACGTTACCTGCAGATTAGCCGATGGTTATTTGGAGCGGATTCGTCGATTATTCTCGAATTTATAGCGCTTCGTGTGAAGGCGCGTGGAGATGGTCTGTTTGTTTTGTAGCCAGCCTTTAATTCTTCTTTAGTGGATAGTACCTATAATTTCAAAACTCAACAAAATGCCACTTAAACCGGCCAAGAAAGACAGGGATACGTTCAGTTGAAGGTATCTTAGCTTTGTTTTGTTATATTTTGACTTTTAGACTATTTTAGTCCATGGGAGTTTCGACGACTCATCGCATTAATTTGTCCATGTGGATATTAATATATTCATTCAGTGACACATACTACGTCTGGGCCGCCTGTGAAAGAACGAGACAAACAAACGCAGGCAATAAGGGATGCGCAGAAGCTTGCGCAGAAGGTTTTTCCGCCCTGAAAGACCAACATTGACGTCACGTAGCCTCCAGTCTATCACGCGGCCATCTCAGAAACGTTTTCGTAAAGTTTTCGGAAATGCTCGGACTTTGATCTTTTATCTTTCTATAAAGGCTTGGGAAGAAAAATCTTTACCCAAGTCTCACTTAGGATGGTTCTTTTTAGTGTTTGGTGAAGGTAAAGCGACAAAAGAAAATATTGCACTTTTTTGGATTCATTTGACCTGTAAGATTTTATTCATTTTTGACCACGAACCTATATTTTGAATTTTGTTGTGTTTTCGCTAGTAAGATTAATTATTTAGTCATAGAAGCTGCATTGATAACTAGAGTGCTCGTAAAGCGGGGCGGGGTTGAGGATATGAGAGTGTCATGCATTGTACGTATTAGCCTGGGTTAATTTGAAAGAATTTAAAGAAAACATATGAAGTTGGGATAGATGAGACTGTCCGTATTAAGCGGGTGTCCTCAGTGCCGGTTCCACTGTAATTCACTTGCTTGACAGCCCAAAAGTATACATGGGGTCAACATCATGGGTATAGGCTGCCCAACAGAGTACTTTCTGAAGGAATATTCATTATACACTGTATGTTCTGCCGCGTAGCACTCGGTTAAAGTGATGATCATGAAACAGATAATTAAATCTAGACTTGAAAACTCAAATCATATAGTTACATGATCCAATGTAACACACACAGCACGGGCGCGGCATTAGTTCGTTAACAGTACTGTCAAAAGAGAGCTTCTCAATGTTAGGTGTCTTGGTAAATCGGCATGTGAACAATATAACCTCTGTCTTTTCAGCATTACTTCTTAGCATAATTTGCGTGTTCCTTCGCATCACATCTTCTATACAAATTTGGAGAGCAGTCAGAGACGGAGACTAATCGCAGGATCGATAGATAGATTCAGTTGACTGTCATCTGCTTAAAACAAAGTTTCCAGGTTATGGCGAGCAATAGCATCCTGTAGGGAGCATGTACAGGGTAGAGAGTAGCGCTCCAAGTATAGACCCTTGCGGGACAGAGTGCACGGAGTGGACACTTGGTCTCCAATCATCATGAATTGATTGCCGACGGTTTTCAAGGTGATAGGATCTGAAGCAGATTCCGTCAGTTTTGAGAAACCGAAGTAGGACTTGAGCCTTTCTACCAGAACCACATGGTCAATTGTGTCAAAGGCCGCAGATAAATCGAGGAGTACTAATACTACATCTTGGCGGCGATCTTAGAACCTGGTTCATTACACGGAGCAAGGTCATTTCCGAGTGGTGATTCCTATAAGCAAACTGCATAGTGGGCATAAATTTGTGAGTTGCAAGATAGTTGTACGTTTGTGTCGCTGCAACTTTCTCACTTTGCTAAGGAAATGAATAATATATAGATTTAGCCAGGGCTAAAAGCGAAGCTCCAATTAATAAACTTATAATTTAAATCAAACAATAAATTTGTAATCCACATATACATATCAGTTAACTTAAAGGAACATTCATGTCACTTTTGAGGGAAAGGCTAAGTTATTTTAGAGTGAATAATAAACATCTTTGATCACATTCAAGATCACAGTAGATTAGGCCTCGAAAACAAATTCTTGGAAAACAAATCAGGCCGAATTTTTTTGCGTTCGACAGGTGTACTTTTCAAATATTTGCCAACAAATCTGTGGGCGTGTAAACGAACCTTTTATACTTTTTATACATCACATCTGAGGTGAAACAGTACTATTTATCATACAGACCTCGGACAGAATGCGGTATTTCACAGTTTTTCAACACAAATTGCACTCAGTCAATATTCAGGACGATCAATCGTGGGCTTTTAGTGAAACCGTTCAAGAAATTTCCAAAATCGCCCATACGGCCAGCCGGTTCTCATTTCGATAGTGCGAGCTGTCAGTGTGTGGTCGAGTGTTTTAATGAACTTTAATAGAGTTACGCTTCAGCATAATCACGAATTTATTATAATTAAATTTTGTTATTTTATGGTTTCAGTTATAACGATGTGTAATCTTATAAAGCGTTTGATACGCGCGACATTTTTGAGTACTCCACTCCTGCAAGCGATGTTCGTGAATGATGAAACAAACGCCAAGGACAAGCGATTAAAATTGCAAGAGAGACTACTAACAATCAATAAAAGAAATATAATTCGGTGAAACATTTACAGAGACAACAATTTTCATTCACGAAGACAAGTGTTAAAGTGCCTATAAAAATCCTGAGTCTTTAAGCGTAAAGCTTAAGTTTATGTTTGAAGCCAGCTTCCCGCCGCGATGTTTACTGTTTTCAAAGATGAACTCCTCGAAGCAAGAAAATCGCTCAAAGTTTTCTTTCTACGGCCAAATTTATAACTAAATATTCTCCGCAACGTTTTCTTTCTATTTGCGGTGAGAAAATATATCTGAAGGCTTTTTAAAGTTCTGTAAGCTTATATCAAACCTGATACTAGGCCAGATCATCGACTCAAATCCTACAAACATGCATAAACTTGCCTCATAAACTGTGCTCGACTTCATGAAAGTAGATAAAACAAAAGCAAACATCAAATGCAATGATTACTCAGGCTTACCATTCAGAATTCAGTTCCTGAAAGCTATTAAGGAAGGCCACAGTTGCTTGAGACTTTTAAACCGTCTTACCCATTAAGCAAGGTGAAAAACGAAAACGATGCCATCCGAAATCGAATAACCGAATTTTGACAAGCGTCCATTTCTCAACCAAAAACCCAGTAAACAAACCAGCCATGAATAACAGAAGACTCTTGATAGCAGCTGTATTAAACATTTAGTACATCCAGAGGGAGAAGGCTGTTAAAAACATCACAAGTTGACACACAACTCTGTCAACCTTAGCTGTCAAAGTAAACAACTTTCAAGATGCAGCATAATTTTTTCGCATGAACTCACCTGTCAAATTTTGACCAATCAGAGCATAACAATTGGACGTGGAGCGTGACCAACGCGTGACCATGGTAAGAAAAGGTCTTCCCCGCCTGTATTTAAAAAAAACCAGCTGAATTTTCGCCTCCGAGGTCAGTTTGAAATCAAAATCCTAATAGTGCAGGGCCATAGTGACATAAACACTACATATTTGATATGAACGGTCCGGAATATCCCTAAATTTAAGGACAGGGCCAACTGATCATGCGACACTTTTCAACCAATGAGAAGGCGCTTGTGTTTATCAAAAAACAAATCAAAACATGATCAAACATCGCTGCTGTGATCAAATATTTTCAAAACAGCGGACGGAGTGGGACAAAATCAGTCATCGTTTCGAGGCTCTCAGGCATATTTTTAAGACTTTTCATGAGGCATACACAATTTTTTTTAAGTGGACAGCGTATCGGAAGCCATATTGGAAGTGTCTCGTGAAATATTCAGCACATTTTGTGCCTTATTTCTTCTTTTAAACAACGCGATGTATGGGCGAGATTTTGGTCGGTTTTCAAGGTAGGTGAACAAGTATCTATTATTTTTTCGATTCACAGATTTTTTTTTTACGAAGTTCTAGATATTTGTCCTTGATTGTCATATCGATTGTGGGGATGGTAGACAACCTAGAATTTTGGTAGACCAGTTTTGAATTCCGAGGTCCAAATCACGTACGTTTTCCATTCCCGGGTTTCTCACAGAGCCGTGTTATTACTTTTTTTCGCATTAGTATGAGCCTTCGCCTTTTTTCTTTTCCAGGGCCAGAACAACTTTATTAGTCTTATGGATATTCACGTCCAACATCTCGCCTCACTTTGCCGAAATTGAAGATCATAAGCGCAAGGTAGATACTAACGGCTTTGTTTCTGAAATTCACCAAATCTGGAAAGATTTAATGTTGCTGGATTCTCCAAATGTTCAACCACCGTTAAAAAACAATCAAAGAAAGAAGGCAAATTTCGAATGTAAATGATGTATTTCGCTAGTCATTGAACAGGCACTGAATCTGGGATCAAATTAAAATAGTGCAGGTACTACAGCAAGCAAGGAAAGCACCAGATGCGTGAAGTCAACACGAAACAACACCAAAAAACAAACAAGAAAAATTAATAAATTTGAACTCCTTTTTACTCTTGTTATGACGACTGGTTCTTTGATTCTTGTCCTGTAGAAGCTAATAGGTAGTACCGATCCTGTTTTGTATGATCTCAACAAATTTTCACACTCTCTATAAGGCTATTTTTACACGGGACCATTTTGTTTCTATCAAAAATCTTGCAAGCCATGCCAGTGAAGCCACGACCACTGCGATCGGTCCGGAAACAGTTCGAGTACCCCAATGATTCCTTGCAATGAATAATGTTCTGATTCTCTTACATGAAATGTTTTCTTTGAAATATTAAATGTGAAACCTAGACGAGTACTGTAAGGTACGGTACGGTACGGTAATTCTGTCCGTCGACTCCGTCCGTTGTTTTGAAAATTTTTGAGCACTGGGGCGATGTTTGATTTGTTTGTTGATAAACACAAGCGCGCCTTCTCATTGGTTGAAAAGTGTCGCGTGACCAGCTGGCCCTGTCCTTAAATTTAGGGATATTCCGGACTGATGAATCATTGGAAAAAATAAACTTGAGACTGCGATCATTTGAAACTGGTAATTTGTCAGCGGATAACTTCAAAAATACTCGACTTCGATGGGTGGACACTTGAGCCCGCGGTACGGTCAGGTGTTACTGGTCAGCATATACCCTGTTTTGATAGCTGTCAATTGATCACAACATTAATGTACAATTAGTTTTGTCTTGCGCTCCCAAACTATCGAGAAAGTGTGAGAGTAAACATTGGTTTCCCTGTGGTGCGGACGGACGTTCGGTCGCTCGGTGTACGGTCACATGATTACTAAATTTTCTGGGATGGGTAAATTTACTTAGCTGTGGGGCTCCGCCCACGCGCGGCGCTTCGCGTGGAGCTCCGCTATTAATCACTGGTCAGTAGTTCTTAAGAATCTTCTTATAGGGGTCATCCTTTTTCAGACGTGGACGCACATGTGATAGCTTCAAGTGTGATTGAAACTCCTCTTTCGACAGATACGGATTGACTATGCTAGTCATCATAGGAGATAACAAATCGACGTTATTCTTTATTACATGCAACATTTTTTTTGTGGAAAAAGACTGAAAGGGGTTCTTAACGGAGAGCAGGATACAGGAATCAAGTTAAAGGCGGACGCTGAGATTGCATTGAATCAGGTTAACTGCATTTTCATGAACGAAGTTCGTTCCTAATGGATTGGATGTTTACAATAAAGATGGAAGTCATTTAAAAAATCTTCTACCAGTGTTTCCAAATATGCATGTGGCATGGTTGTGCTACCAGGCTGAAAAGTTTGTCGATGATAGTAAGAAAGTTAATTTTTTTTCTCCTTGCTCTTTCCTAGTTTTGAAAGACGGTTTACGAAACTCCGGTGGCTTTTGGTATTTGTTGCATGTCTTCAAAAATTCCTCTATGTACTTCCAGACTGATTTTTCCTGAACATACGCTCTGCTCTCTGTTTCATGCCCTTGGCCAAACGGAGATAATTATTGTACCATCTAGGTGCATGTGGACGATGGGTTATCCATGACGGGATCTCTAGGGGCGAGATCATTGTAGATCTTTAATTTTCCAGGTCTGTATTGTATTGAGTGACTAATGTTGTCAGGTTAACAGCGTCTAGAACTTTCAGGTCTTTCACGAAAGGTTGTTTCAGCACAACGTCGCCCAGAACATCAGCAGTCAGGAGCTTAGTTGATCGGTGCGTGACGTGAATTTTAGAGGCATGCGGCTTTGGGCAACAGTCTGCAGGTCACAACTTTGTGATCGGAGAAAAAATTCAGACAGTAATTCGACATCATAGGCTATTAATAGTAATTTTCCGTCGCCTTCTGTCTCGGACTGTTTTTTCATTCGTCTTACTTTTTGACATAAACTGAGCCAAACTTAGTGTATCTAGAGGGTCTCATTATTGGGTGGCAGCTGAGATGGTTGACGGTTAAGTTTTTTCCAATTTTGACGGTTGACGGTTAAATTTTAGAACTTTTGACGGTTGATGCGCGCGGTGAACATTAGGTAATAATTTCTGTATAAATTACTATCAACTTTTGTGTCTTGGAGGATGCCTTGTTTGGCCTTTTGTTTTTCAAATTTCGAAATATTTTCAGATATAAGGAAATTTTAAGGTCTTGTAATGTCTGGAGAGTGTGTTGTTGACTGACAACATGGGGACTGAATTTTGCAGTTTAGAGATTCTTCAGGAGTCCGAAGTCCGAGAGTGTCAGCTGAAATTATAGAGAAAAGTTTTGAAAAAAACTTTTTGACGGTTAATTAATATTAATCTGCATTTTTGACGATTTGCGGTAGAATATATTTACCCTTTTTCAGGTTGACGGTTAAATTTTAGGCCGTTTGCCGGCTGACGGTTAGCACCATTGAAACCCTCTATCAATGGCTTCATGACCGCTTAATAGAGGTGTGACTGACAACAAAATTGAGAACAAGGAGAATTCTCGTAGGGATGACCAAAAGGTGGCCACGGCCGCTTGATGGAAGTTTCTGTTTAGTCAGGGATTTTATTTACAATTCCTTCCTACAATTATTAATTGAGGACTTTAATTACTTCCTGGACGTGCTTAATAGAGGGAGTCCGCTAATGGACGTAATCAACCGACTATAATTATAGTTTATTCTAATTGAAATCTTTGGTAAAATATGAAAACATATTTGTCAAATTATGCAGTGATATATTTCCCTCACCTCACGACTCCAGTCCAAAAAGTTTTATTTCCCAAAGTGGATAGGCTATTAAGTTTACTTTGTACCAAGTCAAGTTTCTTTTTATCGTTGATTATGGCCAACTGACCAACTTTACACTCGTTACCATTTTTCCTATGCCCATGCAATTCTCTTCCTGTGTATTCTTGACAGCTTGGAGTGTAGATCAAAGACGTGCACACATGAACCTCTAAAGAATGGGTTAAAACATATAAAAGCAAATACATCTAAGAATCGAATTAAAAATATATATTTGTTAATAACATCTTTTGTACGTACAAACACGATATTAGATTGTGATGGCGAGAAGATGTGAATTTTATGTTCTTGCAAAACTGCTAATGAGTTATCGGTCTCACCACGAGAACATAAAATTCAAATCTTCGAGCTAACGTGTCATTATTTATATTATTATATTATTATTATAATATATTATAATTATTATTATGGTCCACTGATTAAGTACCTTGACGTGGTGGATTAGCTTGCGTGTTCCTATGACCCGGAGAGCTAAGCTGGCGAGAGCAAGTCTCCTGGCAGGTTTAACCATGCCAGACAGGTTGAAGGGTAGGAACCAGACGAAATCTTAATCAATTAGAGGAGTAAACCTCGATGACAAAAAATCCAGGAGTGGGCAGCAGCTCTTCTGTGGCACTGATAGGCAAATACCGGCAGACAGATATTGTGGCTATCAGTGTTTTGATCGATGGCGGATGATGTATGACACTGTTAAACACAACGGCATGGATCAACCATTTCTCATTAGTAGAAAACTGCGGTTACTAGTAGGAGTTGCGACCACTAGTACTGAATCGTACTTCCTCATGGAAGTGTGAAAGCAATTGAAAAACAACATGACTAGCAATTCTACAACTTCTTCATACCACATCGCTCGTCGGACTTACATGGTAATGAGGATGCAAACCAGATGTATGAGAATATCATGACAGCCCATGAAAAAGCTGCAGAAATCAGTGTACCTGTGAAGGCCAAGATAAAGCAACACGTTCCGTGGGAAAATGAAAACATCATAGAAAAAAGGGTAATGGTGAAGAATGCTTATGAGGTATCCTTGAGAAGAAATACCAGAAGCAGTGCTGTAGAACTGGAGGAGGCCAAGCAAGAGCTACAGGAATCGTACGATCGAGAACAAGAGAAGTATGTGAATGAAAAGATTCATGCAATTACTGACGCTATACAACACCAAAAATCCGGTCTTGCATGGGAAACGGTAAACGAGTTCACAAGAAGAAAGAGCACAAACAGGGGTCGAATAAAAGCCAAAAGTCCTGAAGACCGTGTCAGTAAATGGAAGTTACACTTCTCAAACCTGCTAGGTCAACCACCCAGTGTCACAATAAAACCAACTGCTTCCATAATACATGAACCTCTTCCCATCAACACGGATAACATAACCATGGAAGAACTGGTTAAAAGTATCAAAGGTTTCAAAAATAACAAAGCACATGGTCTCGACAACATACCAATTGAAGTCTGGAAAACTGGTGCTTTAAATCAACAATTGCTTGACATCTGCAACAAAACATTCAATGGTGACCGACCGAATATATGGGTTAAAAGTGGAATAATACCCCTACCAAAGAAAGGTGACTTGGGTGACACAGGAAACTATCGTGGTATATCCCTAACTGTCACAGCTGCGAAAATCTATAACAAGATTCTATTAGATCGAATAAGACCTCATCTGGATCCTCTGCTTAGGGTGAACCAAAATGGATTTCGTACGGGTAGATCTACACTACCGCAAATTTTAACTCTGCGTAGGCTCATAGAGGTAATAAAAGAAAAACAGCTTCCTGCAATATTGACTTTCGTAGACTTCAGTAAAGCCTTTGATTCGATACATCGTGGGAAATTGATGGATATCTTGAAGGCATATGGAATTCCAACAAAGATAGTGGATGCCATCAGCATACTCTACAAGGACACCGAAGCACAGGTGATAACTCCTGATGGTGATACGGAATTCTTTGAAATTCTTGCGGGAGTTCTGCAAGGAGACACACTCGCACCTTTCCTATTTATCATAGCCTTGGATTATGCCCTTAGAGAAGCTACTAGAGAAACACATACTGGGTTCACTCTTACACCACGGCAGAGCTCCCGTCATGTAGCAACATACATCACCGACACTGATTTCGCGGATGATCTTGCCCTAATTTCTGACTATCTTGAAGAGGCACAACTTCTCTTATTAAGACTGGAGGTTGCTGCGAAAACAGTGGGTCTGCATGTTAACTACAAGAAAACGGAATACATGCTGTACAATCAACCTGTAGGTGATCTTGTCACACTGGCAGGGAACAAATTGAAGCAAGTAGATAACTTCAAATACCTTGGTTCGTGGATACAATCCAGTGAAAAGGACATGAATATAAGAATTGGACAAGCTTGGAATGCACTCAACAAAATGATGAAAGTGTGGAAATCAAACCTAAAAAATCATCTCAAAATAGGTTTCTTTCGGACCACAGTTGAAAGTGTACTGCTTTATGGTGCTGAATGCTGGACGATGACTGGAAAGATGATGAATAGACTAGATGGTACGTACACAAGAATGCTCAGAGCAGTTCTTGGAGTTTCCTGGAAGGAGCATAAAACCAACAAAGAACTGTACGGCAACCTTCCTAAGATTACAGATACACTGATGATCAGGAGGCTGCGGTTTATAGGACACTGTTGGAGAAAAAAGGATGAGGTGATAAGTGATTTACTACTCTGGGAACCAAAGCACGGCGCAAGAAAGAGAGGAAGACCAGCATTAACATACGTAGACCAGCTGCAAAATGATACTGGTTTGACCATAGCTGAACTGAAGAAAATTATGGGAAACCGGAAGGAATGGATGAAGCTAGTTAATGGAGTTCGAGTTCGCTCGAAATAAGCAAGCAAGCATTATTATTATTATTATTATTATTATTATTATTATTGTTGTTGTTATTGTTGGTGTTGTTGTTATTAGTACATGGACGATATATATTTAATGAATATACATGGTAGAAATTGAAAATCTGGATTTACTGCTATTTTACAAATGCTTATCAATAAGAAATAATTGATAAATGTCGACCGCAACTGATCCCAACAGTTGACCGCAAATGACCCCTTGAAAAGTCGAGGAATGGGATGTATTTTAGGCAATTGGCCAATGATGAATGGTGTTGACTACTTGAACTACGAGTAAAACGATAAAATTAATCCAACGATAAAAACTCGTACTGTTTCTTTTGACACTTGTTTTTCCGTTCTTTCAAGCATTGACGTTTTGTGCTTGAAAATTATTTATCAATAAGACAGAATTTTAGCTGAACGTTAAAGCAGGAAAGAGAGGACAGGTAAACACAGTGTCTGTTTTAGTCTTAGGAGCTGAGATTGTCTGGAAATAGAAAGCCTGCACCTTCAACAATAGTAGGAGCTTTATTGACTAACGAGTTGATTTCTTTAGTGTTTTTTTTTTGTTTTTGTTTCAAAAGATCAGTTATTTTGTTTTCTTTTTTGAAGTTGTTGAGTTTACGACAATCCTTTACTACAATCGTACACACCGGGAAGTACACTAATTGATCATCACAGAACAAGAAACAAGGTGTAAAATAAACCGAGGCTGACGTAGCCTGTACACAGACGTTGTTTTTTATTATTTTCCTTTTCGTTCTTTTCAAAAACATCGGGGAGCTCGCGCGAGAAGGAGCGCGGAGCGCGAGAAAGAAAAATAAAGAATTTCAGTAGACATCTTAGGAAAAAAGAGGTTTAAAATAAACCTCTTAAAAGTCCCTTCCCCATGTAAACCTTCATCATTATCACCTCCGCATTCGCAGTGCCGATTAAATTGAACTAATGGAATTGGACATATAAACTGCCTGTTTGGCTTAAGTATTTTACAATCAAAACAATGACACCCAGAGTCATGTGTTTCTTGAAGCATGTTCTCTTTTAATATAGACCCTCCTTAATACACTGCTCCGAAGCCGATACAAATCGGCACATCGGATTATTGTAAGATATTGTGGGTGCTTTGTATACGTGAATAGCACTGGGCAATCATCCCGTTCCCGTAGAGCTACAGAAAATCTTTTTTTCTTTGAGAGTGTTCGTCAAGGTGTATGTAGGCGAAACATGGCGTACAATTTAAGAGATCTTGGTTTTACCGTTTCGCCAACAGAAGATCAGTTAAGTAGGATTTTTTCGCCTTGCAGTAATCAGGTTAGAAGCACCTGAGCTGGATTTTCCTTTTTTAAAGCCAGCTTTCAAGAAAGCGAGCACGACGATGATAGCTTTCGGTTTCTAAAAACAGAATGTCCGCATCACCTCATGGTTCCATGGCAAGGTTATGCAAAGACTTAAGTGGCAGCTTCGCTCATTGCTTCAACCTGATCATTGATAATAATACTTCGTAATAGTGATGCAAATACAATTCCACGTCCTTTTCTCTTAGTTTGAGTTTCACTGTCGTGAACAACTGCTAAATTTATACTTATTTTTACATAAGCTCCGATTCCTTTGTTCTTTTCGGGGGGAATATATATTACATAACCCCTGAATCAACTGTCTGAAAAGCTGGGTGCCGCTTTGATTGAATTGTTTGAAGGGAAGAGCGGGACTAATGAACAGCTAATTAAAATGCGAGGGGATTATATAGTAACATGCGAGGGGAATAAGTGACTTATCCCCCTTGCATATTAATACACTAGTAATAGTTGACACTACAGCTGCCCCGTTTTGTATATTGTCGGTCAATAGTGTTCTTGCTGGTTGTGTAGCTCTTTGAAACATACCGATTCATAATGAAGATTTTCACACATATTCCATACAATAGGTGAGATAAATACAGAAAACGCAAGGTTCCATGCACAGTTTCAGCTCGATTTACACGGCTTTGATCAAAACATTTAATTTAAGTTGAATTTTTCCCTATTTCTCTTTCCCTTTTTACTTTCAGTTCATTTTATTTGCCAGAAAGTAAGCCTTAGAAATTAAAAGGACGTTTGATCGATTCACGGTAGCTAATTCTAGTCTTAGCTGAAACTATATAACGGAAGGACATCTGTGAGCAGGAAATAAATCAGCACAGAATTTGATTGTCGGCGAATTTCTGTAAATGTCCATCAATCTG